TTTAGGGTTTAGGGCTTAGTAAGGAGACCCTGTTTAAGGTACCAGAGCTCTCATGCCTTTTTTCCGCATTTCCTCGGCCCTTCTGAAGCTTTGTTGAACGAGGAGTTGGGGGCACATGCCCGGAGGTATTTACTCCTTAATCCCGAATTATACCAGTTTTGTGATGCCTTGAACCCCCAAAACCCTACACTCACCGATAGTCACAGTTTTGCGATGCCTCGAATCCCCAAAACCCATAAGAATCATATGCTTGCACCCCACCAACCTAGATCTGGCTTTAAATCCTTTACCCTGAATCCCGACACCCAAAAAGAGAGAAAAACCTCAACCCTGAACCCTAAACAATAAACCCTCAAACCCTAAGAAACCTCCACCCTGAACCCTCAACGATAAACCCCCCAAGCCCCAAGAAACCTCAACCCTGAACCCTGAACAATAAGCCCCCAAACCCTTAGAAACCTCAACCCTGAACCCTCAACAATAAGCCCCCAAACCCTAAAGAACCCTCAACAATAAGCCCCCAAACCCTAAGAAACCTCAACCCTGAACCCTAAACAGTAAGCCCTAAACCCTTAGAAACCTCAACCCTGAACCCTAAACAATAAACCCCCAAACCCTAAGAAACCTCAACCCTGAACCCTAAACAATAAACCCCCAAACCCTAAGAAACCTCAACCCTGAACCTTCAACAATAAGCCCCCAAACCCTAAGAAACCTCAACCCTAAACCCTCAACAATAAGCCCCCAAACCCTAAGAAACCTCAACCCTGAACCCGAAACGCCGCCTCCTCATGTTTGGAAGGCGTCTGCAGGAAGCCTGGGCTTTGAAGTAACCAAGGGGAAAAAAGTATAGACTTGTATTTCATAATGGTTCCTTTAAGGAACAGGTCCCCAAAAAAAGTACTAAAGCCCCTAAACCCTAAACCCTAACCCTAAACCCTAAACCCTAAACCCTAAACTCCAAAGCCCTGTTCCAAAGCCCAGTAGCCCTTCAGGGCTTCTCGGAGGCGGCCGGCGCCCTGCTCCTGAGCCGGGTTTCTTTGGAAGTGTTTTTTGGTGCCTTCAGGGTGCCTTAGGGTTTAGGGTTTAGAGTTTAGGGCTTAGGGTTTAGGATTAGTGTTTAGGGTTTAGGGTTTAGGGTTAATGTTTAGGGTGTAGGGCTTAGGGTTAGTGGTGGGGTTTAGGGTTTAGGGTTTACCCGTATCTTAAACACGGAAAACCCGTAACAATCCCAAGCACTAAACTTCCCAACCATTCGTGAGTGCCAGACTGACCCGAGCATGGGAGCAATCATCACAGTGATATGGGTCCTGATAATCATAGCCAGAAGTAGAGGTCTTCGTCGTAGTAGGAGGAGGAGGAGCAGGATCAGCAGCAGCAGCAGCAGGCGCAGCAGGCGCAGCAGG